ACCCTTTTTGTACATCCTTAAATTACGTACATAACCCAAACTTGGTCCAATTTAGTAAGAGCCCGATCGTGATCTACGTAAATCGAGGCCCTAAATCATAGTCCCCACGTGCTTAAATTATCGACTAACAATACATATAAATTCCTTTAACGTTAACTATTGGAGCTAAATTGCCCGTATAACACCATCGCTCTCCCAAACAATAGTAACACTATGATGAGGCAAAAGTTGAGAAGTAATAGGTGTATTCGGAGCTACAAAAAATGTCAAAGGTATTATTCTTTGGGTGATTAGTATTAACTGAATTTTTAATATGCTCATTTTGATTTTGAAACATTGTTCCAAGGATTGTCTCATGGCTGAAAGGTGAGTGTTGACCAAAGTGTTTCATACTATATATTAAAAAGTATAATATGCAAGTTAAAGTAACCATATATTACTCTTTATACCTTTATGTCTCCAATATTTGAAATAATCATTTCTTCCAACATTCTTACAATATATGAGACAAGTTAACATTTAGTATCTTTAACCCTTTTTCATTCTTTCTGTGCAACTAGATATTCATGAACATATCATTTATTAGCTTTTATTCAAGTGATTTAATTCTTATTGGCTATGTGTTAGAATTCATATCACAAAGATAATTCAGAATTTGAGAAACTGTCTAAGTTTGAGCTTTAATACTTAATTTTTTTTTTAAAAAAAACAATAAAATTAAAAAATGCACTCAAATCGTTAAATTTGTTTTGCGGAGGCTTTGAATTTATCATTTGAGTGTTGGTAAGAGAAAACCTATAAACCCAAGTGAAAATCAGTAGATTGGTTTACAGGTTTTCTCTTACCAACACCCATTTGATGTCATAATAAAAGATCATGCCACTATAAAAAAGTTATAGTCTCATTAACTATTTAACGTTATAAAATTAGTAAGTTAGTTACAACACTTATGTGCGAGGTAGGGGCACATAAGCTCACTAACCAGATAATAATCACCCTTTATTATATGACCCAAATCACCAACGTCACGTTAGGGTGCGGCCTGAAATGCGATAATCCTGCTATGTTATAAAATTTCGTGCCCTACAAGAAAATATACTGTAATTATACGGGTTGGCGCGGAATGGCACGGGTCAAGCCCGGATCTTGTACGTAAGAGGCTTGAATTGGCACTGATTTTTGGCTCGTGTTGGACTGTATACCAACGTCAATTGGACCGTCAATGACTCGAGTTTTGCAACTCTTTACTAGTCCAATTGGTACGGGCATACGTAAATTCACGTATCACTAAATTACAAATATACATATAGTACATATTTGAAAATTAAAGTAATTGCATGTATATGTGTAAAATTCTGCAAGGAATTTTTTCGTTAAGGTACCCAGAACAATTTTAGGTGAAATTTTGAGATATTGCTTTTTTTTTTAAAAAAAGAAAAACATTTATTGATCCTTCGCTATGACGTGACAAAACGTGCCATCACGTAAAATGTGCACACATGCGTACCATTTCGTGCATTCCCGAAAAAACCGAGCCACAACCGGTCCACTTTTTCTTATAGGGTGTAAATTAAAGTCTATAAAAAATTACGTTATAATAAGGATTAGATTTTAGAACAGCTTAGTGTCTAGAATAAGACTTTACAAAGAATATTTTAATTAGACTGTAGAATTTGGTTTATTAATTAAAACTACAGTATTTCTATTTGTTTTTTCTTGTAAATTTGATCGGTCAAAATTACAAGAATTTTCTTGTGGTTGCGCTAAAAGTTATTTAAATGCTAAAACACTAAAATTCTTTATAAGCAGCTGCGCTGATTTAGACGGATAATGTATTGCGGTGTCACGGTACTAGAAAACCTTTAAAATGGTATTGGCATTTAGCCTATTGCAACGTAAAGGCCTTTTTTGGGCATTGGTCATTTTGTTTTATCTAACTGATTAAATGATAATCACTTTGGTAACTTATTTAATTTCAGTATTGTACATATTGTACATATGTACGTACGACATACATACTTGTGAAAATGAGTTTAAAAACTTTTAGCGATAGTGATTTTGACGTAAAAATAATTGTTGGAAATGGACAAAATATTAAGGAATTTAAAGCGCATTCAACAATTTTAAGTTCACGTTCTCTTTATTTTCAAAGAGCTTTATCCGGACGATGGAGTAACAAGGAACATGATTTTTATGTTATTAAAAATCCAAATATTTATCCATATACTTTTAAGATTATTCTTGAGTAAGTGTTTTCTCTTATTCAATTATTTACATATATTATATAGTAATTTTATAGTAATTATATGCTAATGAAATTTTTTTTAATAATTTATAAGTTACATTTATAAAGAAAAAACCATATTACGAGCATCTGCTGAAACTTGTTTAAATTTAATGGCAGCATCTGACGAACTTGAACTTCTTAATCTTGCGGAATGTGCACAAAAACATTTAATTAAAAAGCATTCTTCTTGGTTGTTTTCTAATCTTATAACATCACTTAATTTTGCTTGTCAACATGATCATTTCTATGAATTATATAATCTTGTTTTAAATTTTACTTGCAAAAATCCTTATTCACTTTTTAATTCTAAATACTTTTCTTCATTGGATGCAGTGGCTCTGGTATGTCTTTTAAAAAGGGATGATCTCGAAATTGAAGAAATAGAAAGTTGGGATTTTTTAATTAAATGGGGTATTGCTAATTCTAAAAAACTTCTCGACGAAAATATATCTGATAAAGATATAAAAAGTTGGTCTGATAGTCAATTTGAAGCATTGAAAGAAACAATTTCTCAATGCATTCCCTTAATTCGATATTGTCATATTCCTAAAAACTATATCGATAAACAAATTAAGCAATACCATTTAGATCATAGTGCATTTATTAAATACAATACTTATCAAAGAGGGCTTTCCAGATTAATTTCTAATGATATTAAACCTACAATCTCAAGTTGGATTGATCAAAAAAACAATAATAATTATTATACAAATGCTACTGATCCTTATAAGTTTAACCTTTTATTACGTGGAAGTAGAGATGGTTTTGACGTTGATACGTTTCATGAATTATGTGACTTTCGAGGTCCAACTGTTGTTATACTTAAGACCAAAATAGCTGGTGAATTAATAGGTGGATACAATCCTACAAATTGGGCTAAATCTATTAATGTTATTAAACACGATGATGGATTTTTTAGATTAAATGAAGCTCCATATTTTAGCAAAACTTCAAATAGTTTTATTTTTTCGTTTACTGATCCATCAAACCCAATATTGAGTAGAGTAATTATGAACAATAAGGCCATTTGGAGTGATAAATATCATGGGCCTTGCTTTGGAAATTCAGACTTATGCATGAGGTTAGACCATTGGGAAAGTGTTTGTACAAACTATTATTGTAACATAGTTGATTTATCCCAGTTTGCTGTTGAAGAATATGAAGTTTTTGCTGTTTATAATTTTAATTCAAGCAAAACCGCAATTCTAAAAAGGATTCAGCAGTTTGTATTTTATTATTTTGTCGAAATTTTGAACTTTATGTTATTATTAATTTTAAATTGTATTAAGGTTTGTTTTAACATATTTATATTGTATAGTATGGATATAATTATAAAATTTTTTATACCTTCTCCAACTTTACGTTGGATTTTATTTATTTATATTATCATTGCTTGTTGGAGAGGAAATGACTTTTTAACTTTGTTTTTTATATCGTTTTTTGTAATTATGAATTTTATACCTTCAACTTTACATTGGATTTTATTTTTTATTATTGTCATTTCTGGTTTTGTAAGAAAAGGCACTTCAACATTGTTTTGTTTAGCATGTATTATACTATATATACAATTAAAAATTTATATTAATTAAATAGTGTATATATTTTATTAAATTAAAAATATATTATTTAAAAAATAGAATAAAAACTTTTATACTATATTTTTTAACAACTTGGGCTTATATATTGAGATTTAAATAATTAGGGTTTGATAATCGGTAAATTATTCACCTAAATTATCGTGGTTTGCAAATTTTATAGCTCTGATCAATCAACAAAACAATAGTACGTGAAAATAGTTACATGGATAGTGTTTACCATATAATAATTTTTATAATCACTTTCTTGGATTTCGATATATAATTAGAGTCACCCATTTAGAATTAGTGTGATTATATCAAAAAAGTCAGAAATAATAATCGATGAACGGAGTAAATCTCTTTCTCTACCTCTTTTTAATATAAGTGTAAATGTAAATATTTAGAAGGTCAGAAATACGTAGCTACCTGTTCACTTATATCAAATTTAGTTATAGATCCCAGGTTTTATGATACGTACTTTCATTAATCACGAACGAAGTAGGTTACTGAGCCTCACACAACTACGACAACTAAAGCAACTCGAAAGAAGGCGTTGAAAGATTTAGTCCGGGAACCAGAGATCTACCAAACTAGGTTTTTTTTTGGATCGTTATTAACATATGATTCACGACCTTTAATTACACTAGGTAAATGGAAGCCATTTAAGGTCCGAAGGACTTATCACGGATCAGTCCGACAATGGGTATTTTCGGAGCAAATGTTTGTTTTTATCAATCAACCAATCAAACCCCTTAATTTGCGGACACACACACAACCAGGTCACTATGACTCTCCCGTAATGTCCTTCGGACAATAAAACGACGGTTTTTAAACTTGATGGACTATATCGGAGACTTTGCTACTAAAATTAAATTGACTATTTCGAGTACAGTCAACACACGAAAATCCGAAACTCTTCAATTTTTATGTCGTACATTGTAAATAAATCCAAATGCTAGTGCTTGGATCCGTGAATATCTGACTATTTTCTTAGCCCAATTCACTGGATTTTTATATCCGTATCGACCATCTAGAAAAATGCTACAAAATGGGTGGCTCAAATTCTTGAAATCCTCGGAATCCTGGTACCTGGAGAATTCTTGATATCTGAAGAATGATGGAAGTTAAAAGAATTCAAAGAATAATTAGAATATTGAATTCCTAGAGCTTTGTTATATGTAAAATCAAATATATAAAGGAAAAGTCCTCCTACAATAATGACAACTCAGAGTTCAACATTGGAAGGGTATCTCACTCTACTATTTCCTCCGATAAACTAAAATTGTATAGAGAATTAGGGTTCTAACTAACACCCTAATTACTCGGACCACACCACAATCGTAACTTGCCACCATTACCGTATAAACACGTAATACGCACAAAGGCGCGTTATTTCGGGACGAGCATGCGCGATAATTCGAATTATTATACTAATTTTTGGGGAAAAAAGTTCAACTATTAAGAACTTTCTTGAGACATCATAATAGAACTAAACATAAGGCGAATAAATTCTAAATGTATTGTTAATCATATTTTTGTATGATAATAATATGCTTCGGATTTAGAGGTAGAACCTAAGCTATTATATTTAAATTTCAAAATAGTACGTGAAAGATAATCTAGTACATATGGGATGCGCTATTTTGAAACGCGCATGGACGTTAATTTGAGTCAAATATGCCATTTTTAAAAAAATTGAAATTTCGAAAATTGAGTTATTACGCGCTTATGCGGTAGATTATGGTTGTTTTAAGTAATATTAGTGTTGTTGAAGTTCATAATACCAATATCTGTGATTCTGGAGCAGTTTCCACTTTTGCACCGTTCATAGACTATCCAATGAAATCTGGTGAATCCGGCGAATCTATCGAAAATTTTGCAACATATATATTTTTGACCGAAACATTAAGATATTTATACAGTCGAATACTTTATTTAACAAATTGCTAATTCAAATTATGCAAGTTACGTAATTAATATTATATTATATAAGTTATGAATTTTTCATCAATCTCGAGGAAAATCGCACACTTTACGTTCCTTTTGAAAAAAAAAATTTATTTAAACATATGTTTTAGTTATACGATTTTCTGCATTACTATTACCAAAAAATCGGTTGTTATCAACAAACTTTTTTTTATTTCTTAATTGTCAACATCAAATCTTTAAACTATCATATAGGCTTTAATTAGATTATTCGAATAAGCAATCACTTCGGACCATCCTGCATCACACAACCTCAGCGTTAGCAAATTTTAAAGAAGTCAATAGCTTTAGATAAAACTTTGTTAAGATTCACTTTGATTTGAGAATATTTACTATGGATACGCAATTAAATTTTTTTAAAACTTTGTTAATATGGTTCAAATTATATTTTAAGAAATTAATTGTGATCAAATAAATTACCGTATATAGTTTTAGGATGTGATTTAGTAGAGAAAACTGTGTACAATAAATAAAATTGTTCATCACGAAATTAATCAAATTTAAATAAACTTGTATTTCACAAATAAGCGAATGTGTGGTATGTCAATATTTATTATTCAAATTTTAAGCCGCATATAACGAAGAACACAACTTCTAACAATCATGGTTATAATTTTTATAATCTTCATCAATTAAAGCTCTATATAAAAAAGTGTGAGAAACATAATCTGCGAGATTGTCTTTACATATTATCATCAAGTTGGGGCATTTTTTAAGAGCTTCATTACGATCTGCTTCGCCAAAATCACGATTAGTGAAAATGATAAAACAAATTTTGACATCAATGAGATTATCGAATTTTTCCATACCATCTAATCGCTTCTGAAGTGCTTACTTTTCCTTTTGATTCTGGCATAGAGTGTTTTGTTTGTTTTAACAATAATACATATTCAGATTCAAAAATGCGGAGAAAATGAGAATCAACTGCAGGATTTCCAGTATGACAAAGAAAAACTGTCTGAAATGCATCATTTTCTTTAACCAACATTAAATGTTCATTTGACCAATCTTTAAAATTATGCTTCATATCTTTCTTCATACATTGAACGCTCTCTTGCTTAACTATCAATTTATCCCATGAATTGATATTCCATTTCAAAACATCTTCATTCGCATATATGTGTGGAAACTGTTCTTGAATTGTATTACCACCTTGAGCCCTTAAAGTCTCTAAATGGGCCTCTAGCCTTTCAAAGTCCTGCCAAGTCCATCTTTGGCAGGGAAAATTAATATGTTCAGGTGGTAGTAATGAGACTTCGCAGTTTAGTTTCCACAAAAAAACATATGGCATTGTTATAATTAATCGACCATCATTTACAGGACGATAATGAAAGATCCCAAATCGATTGAGATCAACATAGCTTATCTCAGTTCCTGGAAGCAAACTAAAGTGATCGATTAATTTTCCTGTAATAATACGCCTAACAAGTTCTTTAAGTGTTGATTTTGGTAAGCTTGTTAAACTTTGTTGTTCTAAAAATGAAAATATTAGTATTTTTCTTCGTTTGCAATAATTAAAAAAAGTAAAAAATTACAACCTATTGGAGATTCTACATTATAATATTCCACAATTCTATTAATCATTTGTGCTCCTAAAGTATCAACTTCCTGCTCTTCTAAAGGCTTTAATCTATTTGAAAAATTTCCTAAGTCACGCAAATATGTAAGTAATCGAGCAACTCCACCAATATCAGATATTAAGATTTTAAGCTTGATCGAAGAAGATTCCAGAAGATTCTCAGAAATTCTCAATATACTAAGAGAAGCTTTAAATGATAATGGTGGTATTGACAAAATCTTTGCTGCATAATGGCTTCCCACAATTGTATTTCTAACATCACCACCGAATGTTCCAGATATAATAGGCACAAGAATGACATTTTGTTTAGCAGCACTACTTAATTCATAGCGACTGTAAGTATAGTGCCCAATTTTTTTAATAATATTATATTCAGGATCGGTAAATCTCATCATTTCTTCCTGATAGTCATCTATCCAAATAATAACGCATAGTTGGTCTTTTGTATTTTTCCATTTTCGATAATGATCAATAATAAATTCAAGAACCTCATAAGATTCTGCAAAAGTTGTTAGTGCCTTTTCCTTTCTCATCATATCAATGAAATCCGAAAGATCTTGACCATGATAAAAAGCGGCTAGTGATAGTCCAAGCCATTGTTGTTCCTTACAAATTTGTGGATCAAATTTATAACATGGTTCCAAATTAAAAACGAGAGTGTCTTTTTCATTGATCATTTTAATACAAAACTGTTTTATCAACTCAGTTTTGCCAATTCCATATCCACCAAAGCATAAGCCAAAATAAGTATCTTGAGACTGATTCGAAGTTCTACCTCTTTTATTGTTTAAAAATCTCAAAAAGCATTCATTAAACCATCTTCACGATCCACAAATATTTCTGCTGCGCCGTTTTTGACCTTATTAGGTTCGCAAGGAGTCAAATTTTGCAATATCTGCTCTAGTGTTACATTGTCTGGATTTAATGAAATATAGGAATTATTGAAAAATTATTAAAAAATATAATTAAATAAAAATAACATTAATGCTAATTTTCTTATAAATAGATGAATAGCAAAATAAGGATCAAAAACTTCTACATTAATATATAACGAGAGACAAATTATGCTACTCTGATATAACCAACCTTCAATCTCCACAACTTAAAAGGGTTCGCCGATATGTAAAAATAGAAAAATGCAGAGCTTTAATTAATATAGCACATGAACTATCATCATGAAACGAATATGATGCGGCTTTCAAAAATTAAACCAGTCTCATTAAAAGTAATTATTTACCTGGTGACTTTACTGTTACAATGAGAGGTTCTTTACTTGTACATGTACTCGCAAAACCTTTATCAATGACCATATCAAGGGCCAGCTCTTTTCCATTTTTTTGAAGTATAATGAAGGCAGAAGGTACGTTATTTAATGCAGGTGCTAGGTTGTCTTTGATATCGTGCTTTAAATGTGCTACATGATTTCCTTTAAAAGAGAGAAGATCTAGATACTTTTTGATTAGCTTTTTCGTATTAATACCAAATTTCAAGAGGCATAATAGCGAACAAAATTTTCTTAAGAAATTGTCATAAAGTTAAGTATTGAAGCGAACCTTATATATTAAGGTAAATTCAAAAAAAAAAAAGGTCAAGTATTGTTAACGTCATTACTTATTTGTACCGATAATAAACGTCGATGTTACACTAGTAATCCTTCACCCGGTGTGCAACATATAAAAAAATTATTTTACAATACCAGATCATTCTGCCAGTACATGTTATTATTATAATCCCACACTATAATCGAAAAGCATCGTGTAACACATTTCGAGTTGGTTTTTTTTTTTTTTGCTGGTGATGCCGGTATTTATCATTTAGGCCGAAGATGACTTTATTGAACTGTTAATATATTAGAGTTGTACATTGTGTAAGTAACCAGCCGTGATTGGCCAGGGACGGCAAAGACATCCCGAGAAACCTTTGTACTGGGAGTAGCCACAGGGTCACTAAGCCGGTGGTTTCCCGCTTTACCGAAGCAAGCCGGCTGTGGACAGATAATACACAAGAAATGTGAGCGGTCATCCACTGGATGGGTCGAGAGAATATTTCGTTCGGGTTTTTGGTACCAGGTTTTCACGCACTTTCAGCCCATACTATTATGTCCCATTGCTCATACGTATGGGCGTGGGGGCTGTGCTTCGTCTGGTGTTGTTGGCATATGTCGTTGCATAATTTGCATATGATCCTTTGCTTTCAATCAGCTTCCATTTGTGAATTGGCGACCTTGGTCCCGTTCGGTGGCTCCCTCCTTTCGATCACGTGATCTACCATCACTCCACAAAAATAGTGTGGGATTATAATCATAACATGTACTGGCGGTATTGTAAAATAATTTTTTATATGTTGCACACTCATAGGCAGACATTCGTATGATTGGCAGTTTAAATCAATTTAATTTTACATTATTTATACAGTTTAAAGTACT